AGGGACAGTTTGCTATGTCTACTAGGTGGCTAAAGTCTGATCCTCAGAGTTAAATGTACTTTTATGATTTCTCTGTAGATTTTATATTATCTACAAACAGTTTTACGAACTATATATTTGTTTTATATATCTGCTTCATTTTTGTGTGATCATAATCTTTCAATATTTGTTCTATTAATGATTGAGAAATAAGGCCGTTTCTTACGTTTTTATACAACGTCTTGGTTTGCCTTTTCATTTTGAAATTACGTATAGATTCCCAGGGAGTTGTGGAGATGGTACAAGAGGAACTGTGTACCTTCACTTAGTTTTCCCGGGAATGTGATAGTGGTACAGTGTCATTCTGTCACATGTGCAGATGTGTTCTGTCATCCTACAGATGTTCTTAATGAAATAGATATTGTAGTTTTCATTTCATTATATAACAACCAATTGAAATTCTTTTTCAATAAAATCTAAAGTATTTTTCAGTCTTGCAAGTTCTCTAATTCTGGAAAGAAAGTATAGAACTTAGCTTATATACAAAAATAATGCTAATTTAAAACTATGATATGAATAGTGAGTAAAAGGAATAATAATTGTACCTCATAAACTATACAGTCTGAAAGGTAGAATGCTTTGTGATGAGACAGCAAAATGTAAAGTGCAATTGCAGTTTGTTTATTTACATTTGAATAGAAGCAGTTTATAAAATAACAATAGAATCTTGCCTTCAGGGTAATATAAAGCAATTTGTCCTTTACTTTCTGAAACTTTTCCTTATGTTGTGAAGTCTGATTTAATTAAACATTATAATTTTTATTTTAAGGCTTGTCAGAATATTAATTGTGGCCTTTTGAAAATCTGTCTATTTTTTTTAAATGTATTTCAGTGTAGGGGGTGTGTGTACAAAAATTATAAAAATTTTTATTAAACAAAAATATCAAAATGTGAAGCTTTTGTTTCTCAACACATCCTACATCTAGGTCTGTACGCTTCTAAAGGAGGTGTTTCCATCTCTTTCAACACTCCCTGAAGAATTCTGTGTCTCCAGTTAATATCATGTAAAAACACTAGTTTGGGAATCCTCAAAGGACTCAAATTATGTTCCTTTTAAGTATTATTTGAGTTTGGGGAACAAAAAGAAGGGTCAGTATCAGGGCTGAAAGGTGGAAATCACTTTCAATTGAACCCTTTTCTTCAAGGCTTCCTAAAAAGACTAAAACAAATATATGCATTAGTAAGAGACCTTGATCACAGAGGCATGTTTAAACATATCTTGTTTGGAATAAACCCATGCATGTATGCACTGGAACCCAAATAGCAATACTTTTTGGCTTACCCTTGTGTGACTTACCCATGCATTTCTTAGGTTAAGATTGACCTAAGTTATTTTTGCTTCTGAATCACTGGTATTCTCAGTGGAATAAACGTTATTTCTTAGAGAATACTATTTTTTTGTTTAAAGAGAAAAAAAGACCTTCATTTTTTTTTTAAGTCTTCCTAGTAAGTATGAATCAGTGTGACTAATTATGATTGATCCCATTTAATATGTGTATATATATATATAAATTTATAATAACACTTTCCTTATTTGTGAATTTATAGCTTACTTAGTATGTATTTTAGTCATTTACAGGTGGAGGATACAGATTGGGTAATTCCTTTTGTAAGCGGTCTGAATACATCCATGGAGAAAATCAGCTGCAAGATGTAGGTACATTAATCAAAATGGCATTAATCAAAATGAAAAACTGAAAATAATTGCTTCTATTGACTACTGTTTGTTTTATAACTGAACGTTGATAGTTAAAATCTTTTCATTATTATGTCTTGAAACATGAATTAGAAGGACCAGTGTTTAGTTTTTCAATCTCAGATTGTATATTTTGTATCTCAATAGTGCCTTGCATTTAGAGGTACAGTAACTAGTTTTTGAAAGGATGTGTGATTCACTATGTCAAAATGGTGTGCTGTGGTACTATAGAGTGAGCTGAGCTATAAACATAGCAGCACCTAAAATCATTCTTTGTGTCTGCTGCCATTTGACAATTTGCAATTCTGATTTCATCTTAAGCATTTATATTTTCACCCTGGAGGATCACTAGAAATCATGCCATGCCCCTTGGCATGAATATTTAAACTCTGTAGCAGAGAAGTCAGAGTGATCTGCCCAGAAGAAGGAAAAGGTGGGTGTGGGCTGGCAGCTGTGGGTACTTTCTGCTGATTGCTTTAATTTTTTCAGGAAACAAGGGTCAGGTTGCATGACTTTTGGTGTTTCAGCCATTGTCAGTCTGCTGAGCTAGAGACAAATCTGCTAAACCACACACGTTTGTCTTCAACTTAACCTTAAATAATAACTCCATATTTTAAGTTAGTAAGCAGTTTAATATGTTACGAAATATTACATTTGAAACTTAAAATTGTTTTGTAAAAATAGAGTGTTATATTTCTTTCTTCCTGTCTTTTTTAATGCCCAAAAGGTTCAGATTTTGCTTAAACTGTGGCGCAATGGTTTCAGTTTAGATGATGGAGAATTGAGACCTTACAATGACCCAACAAATGCTCAGTTTTTGGAGTCTGTTAAGAGAGGGTAAGATATATTACTTATATTCCATTTCTTCTTAGAGTAGGACTGTTGTTTATCAGACTACTCATAGTGCACCGTGATTTTAAGACTTGGACACTAGACTACATTATATAAGCAGCTGCTGTGGGGTAAATGGCTGTTCTTAAGTATAGAGGATGTATTGCTGTATGTAGCTCACGGGCTTTTAACTTTGGAGGGTTGGCAGTGGTCGCTGGCCCCTTTTTAAATGTGATAAAGTTCTGAATCCAGTTTTAAAAAGAAACATCTTAGTGTAATGAGTTAGCGAATGAATTAGCCTGGAGCTGCCCATCCTCTAAGCCCCTATCCTACTTACTGTTGACAGGGTGGCACATTGCATGAATGCCTGAAATTCAGCAGCTTGTATTAGCAATCTTTTAAAGTGGCATTACTTATGGCAGAAGATGTCAAAAGGTTAGTTGGAAGTTATAATTTGTAAAAGTAAACCAGATGTTTGACTTGTTCTGAGGACAACACAACTCTCCAGTCCTTACTTCTTAGCTTCAATCAGCTGCACAATTTCACAAATTAGTAAGTAATACCTAGATTTTTATTAAGGTAAAATAGATATACAAAGCAAATATTATGGTGAAATTGAAAGAAATTCCATTCAACCTAAGTAGTGGAATAAAGCATTGAGTTTGATACTCATTTTTAAAGTATTTTCATATATATATAGTAAATGTATCTGTGTTTTCACTTGGATTTTTTCAGTAACTACACATGAACAAATGAAAGAGATAGGCCATCTTTTTGGTTTTTTCTGTCCCTTTGAAGAAAGGTTAATTTGACTTTCCCCTGTCCTTTCAAACACCTGACCAGTGATGTTGCAGAGCACAGGCATGGGAGCCAGACTGCCTGGTTTTGAATCAAAACTCCATCATACTTCCTGTGGCCTTAGACACATTAACCTGTTTGTTGGCTCTAATGTCTTCCTTTGTTTTGCACCTGCCATACAGGGCTGTTGGAGCAACAAGTAAGTTAATGTGTATGAAGTAGTTAGAATAGTGCCTGGCACATGGTTGCTTTGTTTTTCCAGTTGCTGTTGAGTTGATTCTGGCTCTTGGTGATCAGTCAGCATCAAAGTAGAAAATCCATAGGATTTTCAATGGCTGATTTTTCAGTCAGTAGCTGGGCCTTTTCTTCCAAGGTACCTCTAAGTGGCCTTGAACGTCTAGTCTTTTGGTTAGCAGCCTACCATGCTAAGCATTTGCACTGCTAAAGATTCTGGTGCATTTGTTGTTGTTAGATGCCATCAAGTTGGTTATGACACATAGTAACTCTGTGTAAAAGACAGTGAAATATACCCAGTCCTGTGTTACTGTCACAGTTGTTCCAGTGTGTGAACTCATTGTAGGCTCTTTGTCAATCCATCTCATTGAAGGTCTTCTTCTTTTTTGGTGACCCTCTACTTTACTAAGCATGATGTCCTTCTCTATGAACTGGCCCCTCCTGATAACATGTCCAAAGTACTTGAGACAAAGCCTTGCAATCCTCACTGCAAATTAGCATTCTAACTGTACTTCTTGTAGCATAGACTTGTTTGTTCTTCTGGCAGTCTGTGGTATATTTAATACTCTTCTAAATAAGCAGATTCTTTTTCAGTCTTCCTTACTTATCTTCCAGCTTTTGCATGCATATGAGACAAAATACCATGACTTGGGTCAGACAAACTTTAGTTTTCAAAGTGACATATTTGCTTTTTTATACTTTAAAGAGATCTTTTGCAACAGATTTGCCCAGTATAATGTCATTTGATTTCATGACTGCTGCTTTCAAGGACATTGATAGTTAGCTCCTATTATTATTTTTTTTGTTATATCCTATTATCCTATTCAGTCATATATACATTTTTAAATTTCTTATCCTTTTTTTTTTCAATTTTACAGATTCCTTCTTAATATTTTAAATACTTTCATTTCTTCATCTGCTTGTCTAGTATATTTATACAGAATGTAACAATAATAATACCATCTTCTATAAAGTCCTTATAATAACTATACTAGGGTTTCCAAAGATATAATCCTGCTTTTAGGACATCACTATTTTTGTTGTTGTTGTTAAGTGCCGTTGAGTCGGTTCCGACCCATAGCGACCTTGTACAAGGTTTCCAAGGGTGTAAATCTTTACGGGAGTAGAAAGCCTCATCTTTTCTCTTGCGGAGCAGCTGGTAGTTTCAAACTGCTGACCTTAAGGCTCACAGCCTGATTCGTAACCACTACGCTACCAGAGCTCCTTTCACTATTTTTAGAACCTTCTTTATAAAGGAAGTAGTAAGATTTCCCTTTCACCTTTGAGGAATTTGAGGCCTGACAAATCCAAGGTCTAGCGGTTTAGCTAATAAAATATAAAGCAATGTAGATCGCAGGTCTCTTGATTCCTGCTTGAGTTGTTTTTGTTCTGCTGCATTGTTTGAACCTTTTAAGTTGAACCTACGTATTTTCTAGTCAGTTTTAATGCTAAAATTTCAGCAACTATTCTAGAAAGTTTATTTTCTTTAGTGTATTTATTCTGCTGCTGTTCTCATTCAGGGAAAAGAATCTAGTGGCCTGCCAAAGCATTAAATACTTCCATTTGACATGTTTGGTGCCTGCTACTGACATCATTTTCTGTACCCATATTTAAAATGTTGCTTTGCTATTTATTGTAATGTAAAAATAAACATGTAGTGAACAGCTACTATGTATTAGACACTTCTCTGAGAAGTACTTTACTTATATTTGTTGTTGTTTGTGGTGGTGTTAAGTCATTTCCAACTCATAGTGACCCTGTGTAGGGTTTCCGAGGCGAGGCTGAAGGTCATGCAGCGAGTCAGTGGCAGAGTTGGGAGCCAAGCTCAAGCAACATGGCTCCAGAGCTCTTGTTTTCATACTGCTCTTGCCAGCTGCTGTTTGCCAGCTGCTCTCAGCAGGCTTCCTGTCCTTTCCCCAAAGAGGGATGCAACGCTTCCTTCTTTAATGTTGCCTATCAAAGAACCCTTCTTTCAGCAAGCTTTGGAACTACTGTTTCCACACTTGCTGCTATTTTCCTCTTCTCTTATATAAGCAGCACACAGAGATGATCAAATATGGTTTCCATACTCAATGACTGTGCTTTTTTTATTTTTTATTTTTTTTTAATAAACTGCAGATAATAAGCATACGTTTAAAAAGACTTTGCATTGAGAGAATTGTTACTTAAAAACAGGTTTAGCTGTAGGAATTTCTACCTGAGCTGTTAATCACTGCTCAGTATGTGATATGAGTGCTTCTGTTCAGTAAAATGGTCAGCAATGCTGAGAATCTTGGGAGTCTCACCACTCTCGGGATGCTTTATAAAGAGAAATGTTAATCATAGCTTTTGGGTTATTGAATTAATTGGACTTGACCAATCAATGACAGTGCCCTTACTCATGTGATTAAGATTATATCCTTCTCCCTACTGCCCATGTCAACCCTTTTCATAAAAGATTTGCTTTGTGTTGTTTTTTTTTTAAAAAAACTCTTTTGTAAGAGGGGGTGAACATATGAATGCTATTTGAAGACTTGTTGTTGTTAACTGCCATCAAATCGGTTCCAATCCATAGCAACCCTCTATAGGGTTTCCGAGGAATAACTGGTGAGCTTGAACCACTGACCTTGCGGTTCAAGCTAGCTTTGCAGTCCAGCGCATTAACCCACAGAACCACACCAGGACTCCATTTGAAGACTAGCAGAAGTTAAATGAAGTCTGGCTCTAAACTCTTTCTTAAAGAGTAAACTGTAGTTAATTCAAATATTTGCCCTTATCCTCATTACTTGATCAAAGTAGTTCTGCAGTCTCAGTTTCTTTCTGCAAACAGAAGAGAGGAAAAGCAAAAGGGACCAGAAGAAATGGAATATATTAATGTTCTTTTGAAGAATCTCTTCTTTCCCTTTCTTATTTTAATTGTGTGCAGTTCAACAGATGTTTCAGGATTTAACTCAGGCATGCTGATTTTCTAATACCATTAATTGTATTTATATGTCCATACATTAATTGCTAAGAATGTAAAATAATTAATTCATGTAAGTGTGTTGGAATATTTGTTCATAGGTGAATGATAACATTTGAAGAAGACGCTCCACAGTTGTTAAACCATGTGTGAAATGTCCTTCTAATGTGGGTCACAGTGGGCCAATGGGAGTACACCCACAAACCTGCATAGTTTGGGGACAGAGAGGTCATAGTAGAGAATATAAGGGAGACACGTGGTTTTTTTGTTTTGTTTGGCCATATTCAAAATTTCGTAATTTTGCTTGCTCTTGTGTTTTTGTTGTTAAATGCTACCAAGTCAGTTCTGACTTTTAGATACTCTACACAGGGTTTCTGAGCAGCGGCTATTGGATTTGAACCACTGAACTTGTGGATAATAAGTGATTATCCTCCAGTGCCACACTAGGACTCCATGATGGCTCTAAGCAATGGTAAAATGTTTCTAAAGGGTATTATTTTTCTCTAAGAATTGTTTTATGCGACCTTCACAACTTTTCACGTATAGGTTCTTGCCTGGCCTGTAAAGACTGTTTTATTTGTGTCATAGGCTGGTTCTCTTAGAGAAGCTAAACCAGTGAAACTTTTATATGCATATGTACATGGAGAAGTTTATATCGAGGCAGTGGCTCACACAGTTGTAGAGATGGCCAAGTTCCAAGTCCCTGGGTTGGATGCCAGACTGAAGGCTTCTTCTGGCTCATGTAGTAGAAGGGGCTGATGACCCAAAGATCAACTGGCTTCTGGCTGTAGAAGCAAATGAGTCCAAGATCAGCAGAAAACATGACAGGCTGCTGATCAGCCCTTGATTCGGCAAGCAATATGGCAGGCTACTGTCTCAAGTCTAAAGGACTAGAGATCAGATGGTGAGCCAGATGCAGGATCCTGACCCCACAAAAAGCAAGCAAGCTTTGCCTGGAAGACCAGTATATGAGCAGCAGACCACACCCCTGATGAATCTCCCTTTCGCTTGGTTGACTGCACATAACAGATTTCATCATGGAGGTGATTATATTAGATCTCATCATTGTCGTTGTTAAATGCTGTTTGATTGGTTCCGACTCATAGCAGCCCTGTATAAGGTTCCTAAGGAGTGGCTGGTGAGTTTGAACTACCGACTTTGTGGTTCAAACCAACCTTGCGGTCCAGCACATTATCCTGACAAGCTACACGAGGACTCCAGATCTCATCACAGAGGTTTACTGTGTCTTAACTGCCAAACCACTGAGAATTCTGGCTCAGTCATGTTGTCACAAAACCTTAACTATCACATTTGGGTATTTTAGGAACAAGACTGTACTTTATTGTTGTTGAGTGTCTCAGAATGACCCTGCATACGGTTTTCGAGACTTTCAATCTTCACAGAGCACAAAGCTACATCTTTCTTCTGTAGAGCGGCTGGTGGGTTCAAACTGTGGACCTTGTGGTTCACAGAGGAATCAAGTGATTTTGTAGTTATAATAAAAGCATTTCTGTGTTAGGCTTTCGCTAACTGACATCATGAGTAAAAATACACTTACAGACACAGGGAGATTAAGTAGCATGGATGAACAGGGAGATTAAGTAGCAGTTAGGGACCAGAGTTAGGCGTTGTACCCCATCGATGGATGAAATACATCCAAAGAGAGTGGTAGAAATGTGGTAGACGCATGAAGCTCATTACAGTCAAACAGTCAAGGAACTCTGAAGCAACGGTATTTTAGAAGGCTACCTGGTGTGGCACTATAGGATAAGCACTGGACTGCTAACTACCAGCCACGCCTCAGAAATCCTATACAGGGTTGCTATGAGTCAGAACCGACTGGATAGCACTTAACACCACTATACTTTTCACTTGTGACCCTCCCGCATAAGTAACACACACACGCATAACTTGCATAGCATGCCTATGAAATTAATGTGGAAGTTGCTTTTTTTTTTGCAAAAATATGTATAACAACTGAGCCGTTTGTGTAAAATATGGTAATCCATTAGCATGAATTTTTAATTCTATGAAGATAATGTCAGGATACCCCAAAAAAGGCAAGAAATTCCATTTGTAGTATTGTTGAAGTCATTGAGAAACTGTCCTAGAAAGCGTTTTGTGGTAAATACAAGGGAATAAGTTTATGTCAATGGTATGGACTTGGAAACCTGCACAATCTGTGTATCACTGATTATCTGCTAAGTGAGGATCAGCATTGTAGAAACTGATGCTGACTTCCAGGTGGTAGAAAAAGAAAATATACTGGTTATGAGTGTGCTACGTTAGAGAGTAATACGAAGTTATCATTAAATGCAAACAATCTGTAGGCTGATACTCAGTCACAGCATATGAAAAGATATAGTTTTTTATGTTTCAGCCCCACCATATTCTCAAGTACAAATTATGATCAAAAGTTTTACAGAATAGTCCTTGAAAAAAAATGAGTGGTGTCAGATAGTGGTTCTCAACTATTGAAGACCCATTGACCTAATTTTATAACAAATATTTTGTAGCACCACCTTCACTATCCTTGAAAAGGAGCTCATAGATAATGTCATTTACTTGTGTGCATTATTTCCAAAAAATTGATACAATAGTCTACATTAAATTTATTTGAGAAATAAAGGACAGTAAGTTGTCATGAGTTACACATAAATGCTCAGTCAAGTGTGACCAGCTGTGGCCATACCAGAACACATAATGAAGTAGTCAGATGGCTTTTACCTTCCTGTAGTCTAGTACTCATGTGACAGACATAAAAAAAAAAAAAAAAAATGAGCTTATTAAAATGGCACCTTAATGACTACAAGGCTTTGAAGTCAGGACTTGAGACAAGTGCCAAACAAAACAGTGTGGCTTCCCCTTCAATTTATATAATGGTTGCATTCCTGTAAAATTCAAAGTATATTAACATTACAATAAAGAATGTGTTTGCTTATATTTAAAGCTAAGTTAGGGTTTCAGCTCAGACAATTATAAACAGTGTGTTTGTGCCCATGACTTTGGCAGGCTGTTGGTGACACTGTGGAGACAAGAATGCATTGTGCACAAGACCCTTTTTTCTGTGGCAACTTAACGCCCGAGGCCCTGGCATTAAAACAGCAGCACTCATGAATCACACAGCAATCAAAAACATCCTGTACATTCATTTCCAAAATGTCCTGGAGGTAGTTCAGAAGTAAATATGTGCATTAACTGTGATATCCTCATAGGAATTTTCTAATGCTAATTTAGATATAAAATTACTATCCTGTAGTTTAGCTTTCAAAATCTTTTTTAAGACAACCATAAACATTCCTATTGGAGAACCACTAAGGAATAATGGGATATAACTATAATAAAGACCTATGTAGACTACTCGATGGTCATGGAAATTTTTATTTCCTGCTGTGGTACTGTAGGATAAGCACTGGACTGCTAACCACAAGGTTGGCAGTTCAAACCCATCAGCTGCACCTTGGGAACCGTACATAAATAGTGTTGTTATGAGTCAGACCTGGCTTGACAGTACTTAACAAAACAACAATGTAAGCACACATTTCCATATTTCAAATGACTTGACATTTCATTGTCGCTCATAACTTGATTTAAATCACCTCAACAATGTAGTTTGTTATTTTTCTTTTTAAATTAATACCTTTTTCCCTGCTTTCCAAAAGAGAAATTCCCCTGGAGCTTCAACGACTGGTTCATGGTAGCCAAGTGAGTTTGGATATGGAGGATCATCAGGATCAAGAATACATCAAACCCAGATTGAGATTCAAGGCTTTTAGTGGAGAAGGGCAGAAACTCGGAAGGTAAAATTCAGAAATGATCAAATTACTGTTCTTTGATTAACATGAAGTTTCTTTAGGATTAAAAAATATCTATAAAATGAAAACTGAAATATGAACTATGAAGCCCTTGTTGGTAGAATTAGATATGAAAGTCTGGTAATAAAGTAGCAAATATTGCATAGCAGTTGCCACATGCCTGGCATTTCTAAGCATTTTACCAGGTAAGTCAAAAAGAATTGCTACTAAATTTTACTGTGTTGTTAGGTTGCAGTTGAATAGATTCCAACACATAGTGACCGTACGCATAATAGAATGAAACACTTGCCGAAACTGCACCGTCCTCACAGTTGTTATATTTGCGCCCATTTTTCCTACCTCTGTGTCAGTCCATCTTGTTGGGGTCTCTCTCTTTTTCACCAACCCTCTACTTTTCCAAACATGATGTCCTTCTCCAGGAACTAGTCTCTCCTTACGACATCTCCAAAGTAGGAGAGATGAAGTTTTGCCATCCTGACTTCTAAGGAGCATTCTTAATGTACTTCTTCCAACACTGATTTGTTTTTCTTCTGGAAGTCCTTGAGACTTTCAATATTCTACCTCAGCACCATAATTTAAATGCATCAGTTCTCTGATCTTCCTTACTCGTGTCCCACATTCACATGCATTTGAAGCAGTTGAAAATACCATGGGTTGGGTCAGGTACATCTTAGTCCTCAAACTGACGACTGCTCTTTTAATACTTCAAAAAGGTCTTGTGTAGCAGATTTGCCTAATGCAGTCCATCCCGGGATCTCTTGACTGCTATTTCCATGAGCTTTAATTGTGAATAAAGAAGTCCTTGACAATTTCAATATTTTCTTCATTTATTATAGTGGTTTTTTGTGGTCCAGTTGTGAACATTTTTGCTTACTTTCCATTGAGGTGCAATCCATATTGAAGGCTGTGGTCTTTAATAATCTCCATCAGTAACTATTTCAAATCTGCTTCACTTCCAGCAAGCTAGGTTGTGTCATCTGCATATCTCAGGTTAATGAAAATAACTATGGCTTGGGTCAGGTGCACCTTAGTTTTCAAACTTACATCTTTGCTCTTGAATATCTGAAAGAGGTCTTGTATGACAGATTTTCTTAATGCAATATGTCATTTGATTTCTGACTGCTGCTTCCTTGAGTATAGACTGATCCTAGCAAAATGAAGTCTTTGACAACTTGAATCTTTGCTCCATTTATATGGATGTTGTTTGTTTATGTGGATGATGTTGTTCAGTGGTGAGGATTTTTGTTTTCTTTACATTGAGGTGCAACGCATAGTGAAGGCTGTAGTCTTTGATCTTCACCAATAAGTTTTTAAGTCCTTTACACTTTCAGCAAGCAAGGTTGTATCATCTGCATATTGCAAGTTGTTAATGAGTCTTCCTCCAATCCTGATGCCATGTTCTACTTCATATTATCCAGCGTCTTGCATTGTGTGCTCTGCATACAGATTGAGTAAGCATTGTGAAAGAATACAGCCCTGGCACACACCTTTCCTAATTTTAAATCATTCAGTGTTCTCCTGTTCTCTTGGTCTGTGTACAGGTTCTTTATGAACACAATTAAGTGTCCCAGAATACTCATTCTCTATAATGTCCATAGCTCGTAACGATCCACACAATTGAAAGACTTTAATGGTCAATAGAGCACAGGTGAACATCTCGCTGGCATTCTCTGCTTTCAGCCAAGATCCATCTGATGTCAGCAGTGATGTCCCTCATTCTATGTCCTCTTCTAAATCTGTCTTGAACCACTGGCAGTTCTCTGTCAGAACATGGTTGCAGTCTGTTTTGAATTACCTTTGGCATAATTTTACTTGCATGAGAAATTAATGACATATTATGATAATTTCTGCATTTGTTGGTTCACCTCTCTTTGGAATGGTCACAAATATGGATCTCTTCCAGTCAGTTGACTAGGTAGTTGTCCTCGAAATTTCTTGGCATAGATGAGTGAGTGCTTCCTCAATTTGTTGAAAGATTTCAATTTGTATTCCATAAAAGCTTGGAGCCTTGTTCTTCGCCAAATCCTTCAGTGCACTGTGGACTTCTTCCTTTAGTATCATTGGCTCTTGATCATATGCTACCTCTAGAAATGCTTGAACATCGACCATTTCTTTTTGGTACAGTTGCTCTGTGTATTCTTTCCATCTTCTTTTGATGCTGTCTTTATCATTTAATATTTTTCCCATGTTGTTGTTGTTAGGTGCTATCGAGGCAGTACCGACTCATAGTGACCCTATGCACAACAGAACGAAACACTGTCTGGTCCTGAGCAAACTTCACAATTGTTGCCATGCTTGAGCCCATTTATGCTGTTACTTGGCCAGTCTACCTCGCTGGGGGTCTTCCTCTTTTTTCTCTGACCCTCTACCTTACCAAACATGATATCCTTCTCCAATGACTGGTCCCTCCTGACAACATGGCCAACATATGAGAGACGAAGTTTCTCCATCCTGGCCTCAAAGGAGCACTCTGGCTGCACTTCTTCCAACACAGATCTGTTGGTTTTTTTGGCAGACCTTGTCACTTTCAATATTCTCCTCCAACACCATAATTCAGAAGCATCAATTCTCCTACGGTCTTCCTTATTCACTGTCCAGCTTTCTCATACATAAGAGGTTATTGAAAATACCATGGCTTGGGTCAGACGCACCTTAGTCCTCAAGCTGACATCTTTGCTCTTCAACACTTTCTAAAAGGTCTTGTGCAGCAGATTTGCCTTATGCAATACATTGTTTGATTTCTTGACTGCTGCTTCCATGAGTGTTGATAGTTGATCCAAGAAGAATGAAGTCCTTGGAAACTTCAATCTTTTCTCTCTTGTTAAGAATGTTGTTCATTGGTCCAGTGGTAAGGATTTTTGTTTTCTTTATATTGAGATGCAGTCCATACCGAAGGCTATGGTCTTTGACCTTCATCAGTAAATATTTTAAGTCTTCTTCACCTTCAGCAAGCAAGGTTGTATCATCTGCATATCGTAGGTTGTTAATGAGTGTTCCTCCAATCCTGATGCCATGTTTTTCTTCATATAAGCAAGCTTCTCGGATTATTTGCTCAGCATACTGGTTGAATAAGTATGGTGAAAGAATACAACCCTGTTGCACACCTTTCTTAATTATAAACCATTCAATGTTCCCATGTTCTGTTTGAACAACTGCCTCTTGGTCCATGTACAGATTCCTCATTAGCACAATTAAGTGTTCCGGAATAGGACTGCCAAAAGAACAAATCAATCTGTGTTGGAAGAAGTACAACCAGAATGCTTCTTAGAAGCCAATATGGCCAGAAGCCAATGGTCATACATTGGACGTATTATCAGGAGGGACCAGTCCCTGGAGAAGGACATCATGCTTGGTAAAGTGGAGCGTTAGCAAAAAAGAGGGAGACTCTAACAAGATGGATTGTCACAGCATCAGAAATGGGCTCAAGCGTTGCAGCAATTGTGATGTTGCCGTAGGACCAGGCAGTGTTTTGTTCTGTTGTGCATAGGGTCACTGTGAGTCAAGACTGACTCCACAGTACCTAATAACATTTTTTTTCAAGAAACTCTTTGTTGGGCTGACCCTTGACCTATGCTTACCGTTTCCTTTTCCTCTGTGATAGCTCAGTATTCCTTCTTGTTTTAATTAGCATTTGATAGTTACAGATCTTATTTTTCAACTTTCACCCTCTCCCAAACACACCAGAGAACATGCTGTGGTCAGTCCATACACCAGGGTGTGCAGTCCCCTTCCTTTTCCTTTCTAGTTCTGCAATCATGTTTTCAATTAAGAAATCCAAACTCAGAGAGTGGCCTTTGGGGCTGGGTGTTGCCCTCCAGTTTTGCCCAAGATTTCATTTCCTGCTTTGTGGGGTCTGCTTAAATCTGAGCTGACATTCAGGGGAAGCACAGAAAGACTTTCCTCCATTGGAACTTCCAGAAAGACCTGCAGAAGTTGTCTTAACCGTTGTCAGATCCTCACTTTTCCTGAGGTGGTTGGGGGAGCAACTCTACTTAGGTGACCCATCTCCTGGCTCCACTGTTGGGAACCTTCTATAGGAGCTCATGTCAGACCAGAAGCCTTACAGGTGGGGAGGTCTGCCTTGTTCTCGGAGACTGCCCTGTTGTATGTTAACCATGAATGTAGCCTACAGTCAAGATGGCTGCTTCCTAGCACATGGCAGCCTTAGTCCTCAGTGCTCACTAGCAGCTGTAAGGGCGAGCAGACAGACCTAAACTAATCCCAGAGCATCTTTCCTCTTGGTTTCAGAGGCCTGTGGTTTAAGGTGCACAGGGAAGTAAGTAAAGTGCTAACTATGGGTGCCCTCTGTAGCAGTTTGCAAAAGCCCGGTAAGCAATAATTTTCAGGTTGAGAGGAGGTGTCATCTTCTGGTCAGATCCACAGGGAAGTCTGTCTTGTTGCTATCAGAGTCCACCAGTAGATTGTTGGCTCTGAAATGCAGCTGCCATTAAAGACTCGTGCTTCCCAACACTCAGGTAGCTGTCCTTAGTGCCAGCTGGCACTAGGATACTAACCCTAGGATACTCCCAGGGAGATTTGTTCTGTGGACTTCAGAGGTCAGAGCTCTGGAGTGTGCATGGAAGCAGGCAGAGTGCTGTAGGAGAGCAGATGCCACTGTAGGGACCCTCTGTAGCAGTGCACAGTAGGTTTGTTGCCCAGTGTCCAAGTGAGGCAGGTGCTAGCATGCTCCAAATGGGCCTCTGGGAAAGTATGCCTCGTTGGTTTTAGAGTAGAAGCTTGGAGTCCTGTCTCTTTGTACAGGCAGGCTCTTTGGGGCCGTTTCCTGGGTTCATAGCAGCTGGGGTAGGGATGAATGAAGAAATTATTTTCCTTCATGTGTGACTCCTTATGGATTCATTGATTCTTGCTGGTGTGCCATTCCCTACTGTTGTTTTCTAAGGAGCCCGGGTAGCATAGCGGATTACGGGCTGGACAGTGTTCCACAGGAGAAAGTTGAGGCTTTCTGCTCCCGTAAAGATTTACAG